TGACTCCAATCACCAAATCGTTGAATGCACAGAATTCTGCAGACAATTCTCCATTCTCGTTCATCACCTCACCGAGAGCTTCTCGACCCATGGTTAGTTCTCTTCCCGTGTTGTCCGCTCCCAGTTTGGCATTCATGTTGCCCATTAGAATGTTGATATCGCCAACTGAGGTCTTGTCCAGTGTTGATTGCAGTTGTCTGTAGAATTCCTCCTTCTTCTCTTGCTCTGCATTATTTGTAGGTGCATAACGTTGCATTGTATGATTGTGACCTTCCTTCCTTTTGATTTGAACCTTTCTGTCATGAAGATGATTGTGGAGGAGATTGGTTCCCACTGCATGAGAGCCTTCGATGCTGTCGGGGACATCATGATAGCCACTCCATAACTCAGTGTGCTGGTGGTTGTCGTCTGTGTGACAATGTCGGAGTAGATTATTGACTCTCCAGTTGACAGTTTGGAGAGTCCGTTCCCATTCCACCTGCTTTCTCAGATTCCTAGCACTCCAATACTATACCTTCTCACCTCCTTTGCAATCTGGGCAGCCTTGCTGGGTGCGGAAATTCCATGTCCCATGTTTACCTTCGCTTTCATCGAGAGAAGACACATCGGTCAATTGGCTTCGTGAAAGCTTTCGCCAACTGGCATCATTTCGCCTCTCCGATTCCAGTGAGGAATAATTTTGTTTTTATTTTTTATATATCGTTTGTGCTTTGAAGTTTGTTTAGCGGTTAGATTTGTTTTACGGTGTAGGGTTGCTAGCCCTATACCCAACCTTCCCTCTTTACCCGGTTTTAGGACCGGCTAGTAACTAGTGAACTAGTTAACCAGGCGAGGTTAATCCGAAGGTATTACTTCAATTGTTTTGTCTGTTATTACAGATTTCAGTGCATTTCTTTCCTTTTTTGTTTAGTAGGTGTTGATTTTCTTTGATTTTCACTACCGATACAATTTATTGACGACGTTCATGTTGTTGCTCAATATTTAATCCTGAAGTTTTCAATGTAGACTCGAAAGAAGCACAGAAATCAAGTTTGTTTGTATTTCCAGTGTTGTGGTCCAGTCCTTTCTAAAGCAAACCGTATTCTGTAGTAGATAGTGGTGGTTCTGAAAGATTAACTATCCATTCATCTTTTAGTTCTCTCTCTGTTGATTGTGATAGCTTGATTAGTTCATCACTCAACTTCGCCTTCTCTTCCCGCTTTCGGTTTTAGTTGTTATATTGATCGGTGCTGTTAATTTGTTTATCTTATCTGTTCCGATGATTGGTCCCAATATTTGTTGCTGAGTTGTAATCACCTTGACGTATTTGGTTAATCAGTTGTGTAGATCAAATATTATTAGTAGTGCCATTTTTCTATCATTTTATTGTGCAATCTTCCATTCACTAGGAAAGTTGATGGGTGGTCTGTATCTGACACACTTTGGTAAGGTGATCTGCCGGAAACATACATGTAAGAAGAAAAGTTGCTCTCGAGTGGAAGCCATATGACCTGCCAAGTTCTCCATTTTCAAGCATAGAGAAGGGTTCAACTGAAGGGAATTTAAGGTCGAAGAGATCAGGGTGTGATAAAAATTTCCTCCCCAACTTATAATTGAACAAGACTCGAGGTCAGTATAAGCACGGTCTAAGCATTCGTGTAATATTCGAATGTGGTTCACTTCTTTGTGAAGTTAGTGCTAAAGATGTCACTAAGCCTAGTGATCAAACGTTCATAACAAAATAGCAAAGCTTAGAGAACACTAAACCACCATCACACGCGTACCTGTACGCCTCATCTTCCAGGTTGTTCGTCGTAAGTTTTATTTAACTCACCGTTCATTTAACCTTATTAAACAGACAAATCGCTTGGTCCTGAAAATAAGGATTGTGATCAGTATCTACCGCCCATGGACATTAAGGGTACGTCGAAATCAGTACCTGTTTTTCTAGTGGTTAACACTTTGAGTTTATGAATACGTACTCGACGGTGAAGAAACTTTGTCATTATACTCCGTGTGTGCATTCTTATGTCGACAGTACTCATTTCGCACTCACTTCTACTCAATAATCAACCAGGATAAGACATTTCCTGTTTTACAGTCATTTACATCAGCTTACAAACAAATGTTTCATGGACTTTTTTAAGTACGATTGTCGACAAATGCTAAGTTTCAAAAATAAATATTTATTAGCATTCGTAGACGCTCAGATCTTTGAAAGAAGACATTTCTCTGTCAGTTCACTGCACTGGAAGTTGTTTTACATTATGATAACTTATGTGCTCATTAAAAAATATTGTAAACAGTTTTCCGATTTTCTGTGATTTGCCACAGTTACTGTGGTGACACTAGGCAAAGCAGATTAAGACTTTTGATGTGATTTTTCATAGGATGAACCTGTATCAATATAGTTTGATAGGTTTGCTTGAATCTTCCTATTTTATTCAAAACCTTAGTGGTCAGTAGAGCATAAAGAGAAGCTCTGTAGTTTCAGTTCCACAACACGATGTTTGTATTTTTGAAATACAATTATCCACAAGACGGCTGCATCACTAATAGTCATAGAAAAAGAGTGACAATATCTAACGGTTGAATAAACGATTCCAAAAATCAAGACTAAATAAGCGCTAAAGCAGTTCAAAACATATTTAAATGAATAGATAATACTTTCCATGAAAAATCATTTAGTTGACGCGCAGAAGTGAATACAAGCGACAATATTATTGAAGATAGTTGTAGATGAAGTGTGCCAATATTAAGAACAAAGGGTCTTAACAAAAGGAAAAGAAGTTGAAATTTTTTATTAATGTTGCATATCATTCAGTGTATATAAATATGATACAAAATATGCTGATAGCTCTCAAGATTAATCGAAGTAAGTGTTTGTCGGATAGTTGGAAACAGCACTGCACATTCATTGTTTACACATTTTCCTTTGTCAAAAAAGCCTGAAGGTTAAAAAACTAAGAGGCGGATAAAAAGAATGATTTCAGTATAACTCTACTGAGTCATATACAATGACTAGGTGGTTGCCTACCTAAAACTCGGGTACTTAAAATGTTTTTACCGAATCAGTTTGATCAAGCTTATTTTGTCTTACTGGTTTAAGTATATCCTCTAGTCGTACTGTATGCTCTCTTATATTTTAAAGTGTTTTCAAAGTTGATGTTATTGCTTGAAATTTCCTATCGTTGACTGGACCAAATTGATCGGTCTCTATTGGCTTATCGGCTCCTGTGTGGATGTCTCCATACTGTCTTCAAAGTATCTCTTTTCACGTTTACAATAAAACCAAGCGAAGACACTACGGTAAAGAGTATTAGACGCTGAAGTGCTTTACTTATGCATCAATTACTATTACTGAAACCTCGCCAGCTGACTAGAACTCCATCAGTAAACTCACACACTTTCCCATTCATTTTCCTAAAGGTATGTTGGAAAATGTAGCAGCAGCTGGTCATTACACATTATCACTTTCAGTACTTGATATCAACAGTATGTAGGTGCAAAAGTTATTTTATTTGCAAATATTGTACAGGGAGTAAATATACTGAAATAATGAATTCCAACAATTCAGCAGAATCAGAAACTTGTTCTCTTCTTAAAATGTACAACCATAAGCTGGCAGGTTACTGACTGACTTTTGGCTGGTTAAAGATGTAGAAATTTTCGTTGCTACTTTATGCGTAAATTAAGATTTTTGTCAAAACTTAGTGTTAATGTGTGGAAAATGAGAACTGCAATAATGGCGAGCAGTTATGATCATTATATACTCATTTAGAGTCCACAAAATGAGGATTAATCGTAAAGGACAGAAATCTAATTTAAAAAAGTCGGGTTTGTCATCTTTGAGAGATTACCAAATGACCTTGAATACACTAGTTGGGGGACTGATTTCTTTTTTAATTTTATGTACAAAAAATGAAATCACGGTAGACATGGTTTCTTAATGGTATTCAGGAAATTATCTAGGTTCACCGCTCCCTGATGCTCAAAGTAAAGGCGCATCAGATTAAGATATTCATCTATATGACTCCATTACATCAAACAACCATAAGTGTTGTACGAACACAAATAAAGCTTCAAGTGGTCCTCTATCGCTTCGAAATTATTTTTATGAACTCATGTATAAGGATTTAAGAAAAACAGCTTGAGAATAAAAGGTTTCGACTTCATGAAGTTGGATACTAGCTGAATTTCTATCAATTTCAAAGATCAAAGATTGAAAATCAACTCAGAAAGCAGAGAACAAACGCCAAGTGGATCTTTTTTCGCCGTTAGCGCGCTAAAGAGGACCTACTCACCTTTTGTTTGCAGCCTCATGACTTAGTGGGTGCTACCAATTTATGTAGAATTAAATGGTGGTAGGGTATAGGAAGTTTTTCGATGGTGTTGTGTTCTCTGAGCTAAACAGTTTGATTGTGAAGCTTTCAATGTTATTCTAGAAAACATCATCAACACAAACTTCAGAAAGAAGTATAAGAAGTTATAACATGCGTTATAATTAGTTGTGCAACCTGATAGTAAAAAAATACTCCAGTGTGTACTTTCTATCCACAATTTTGTCCTTTATGGGAAATGTAAGTAAATGAAAAACCCCTCAGAAGTCGAAATTAGTGCCAGACAACATTTTTTTGAGTTACCTGCAATGGAATTTATCATCAAAATTGTGCTTAAACCTATCTATATTCAACAACATTCAGTAATTAAAAGATTTTCAGAATGACAGCACATTAACCCTCAACTTCACTGGTCACTTGAAGGTCGTTTTATGATCACTCAAATGCCGGCAAAATTCTACTGTTCCATCATATTTAGATTTAAATGTGTACTTATTGAGAATACGGTCGTAAAACAGTAAAAGTATTGAAAACATAGTATTTTCACTACCTTTGTCGGTGGTTAACATAGATACTTATCACGAGTAAATTCCAGTCAACTTGAGTGTTTTATCTACACATTTTCATAATCGAGTGTATTTTGATGCAATAGTCTTATCCAAAACTTTTCATATCTTTTAGATATTGAGAAGCTGAATACTTTGATCGACAATGACTCAAATTTTAAAGTTGAATACCTTAAAAATTCAAGTAAGTGCTTTGAGATAGAAAGACAATTTACTGAACACATGTTGTTATCTCATACTCTTGTTATGATCTGACATTCAACGATTCCGAAAATAAGTAAATAAGTAAGAATGACTTTGCCAACTTACATCCCATGGGACAAGGTGTTCGGGAAATCTGTCTATACAAGAATAAGATCATCTTGGTTACATAACTGCAATTCCTTAACCTTTTATTCCGGGGTATTTTGATGGTTATGGTCAAGAAGAATGAATGTAATATGAGAATTAAGAAGTTTGAATACAGACATCTATACTGGATTTCCACACATTTTAGGATGAAATGTAAGCAAAGAAGTTGTGGAAACAGTTATGTAACTATCATTTTACTGGTGATAAGGGATGTATGGGTGCTCGAATTGGATCATCCAAAACGAGTTCCCCACACCTAATATTGACTGTTGTTTCATCTTCAACAGATGTTTTCATAACTCTCATCAAATGGAGAAGGTGAAGAATTATCACAGGATAAATATTCGTTAATAAGTGTATCAAGAAAATGAAATCGCTACCAAATAATTTGCGATTATTTGGCTTTCATCCATTTTTAGGAAAATGAGGTTTCTCTGTAGATGAGATTCTGTCAATCATCTGTAATTCCATATTGTACACAAAAACTGAAGTTCTGCTGCTGGCGTAATTACCTACAGATAATCATTTCCCAACGGATAGTGTAAGAGACAAAATTCTCCACACACTTGAAGATAGCTGTAGTAAGAAATGCCCCTGTTATGTGTTGCTGTTCTCACTCTGATAGTTCTCGATTTCATAGTCCTTTTCCGATTAAAAGTTAGTATTAAAACTACAGAAACATTGACTAATCTGTAAAATTTTAAATTTCAGTACTAAGTTCTTTGTATGCTCAAGCCGCTTTGGATATGAAGGTTAGCTTATGATTTGAGCAAAATTTTTCTTCGCAGCCGTTAAAGTTTTTGATTACACCTTAAAGATTTGAGTACCCGTTAACTAACCGTCATGCAGTTAGTATTATGCTGTGAGGATGATCAGCAAGAAATATTCGCTTGATACCTTCATTTCGACTGCGAAAAAAGAGATCAGTTGAAAAACGGAACTTGGTTACAACAATCAGAACTTTCACTCACTGTCAGTTAACGGGACATTGGTGAAAGTTGTCGTACTGTTTTATAATTACGCGAAAGACAATGTCGGTACCAGTGTATCATATTTATTTAGAATTCATAGTGATTTGGACTTTGAAATTCTAGATGATGAAACAAAAGTACTTATTCATTTGATAAAATAGGCATGGTAAAAAAGATTTTTCCGAAAATCTAATATATCTAAACGATGTGGCAGACTAAGATTTCTACAAAACATCCCACTTACTTATACAAGTACTAGGACGACAGCGAAAAATAGAGTGATGATTTGTTTGCTTATCTACACATCTACAGTAGATTACTAGAAAGTTTCAAACTTTCATCTGTGAGGTGAGAGCATTGTAAGTGCCCAGTGTTTGTTTGCACCCTTGATTTACCTGATATTGATAGTACTGTTGGTCCTCCTCTAGAGTGAAAGTCATTCATGCAGTTCTTAAATAGTGATAGTCTAAGTTGTGTTCTACTCGTTGCCAATGTCGTCACTAGAGTTATTTAGATTTTACTCCGTCCAGTCGTTGTCTTTGTACTGAATATTCACAAACAGGCTGCATAGAAGGCAATCGCAGGTCTAAGTACAAAATTTCACAACAACAGATACTCTGTAACAAGTTTGAGTTTGGGCTCTCAGTGCTGAGTTCGACTGAAAACATGGGGGAATTAAAACGGCGTTTAGTAGAATATATTTCCCTATAAGTGTGACTGGATAATAAACCCTTCTGCAATCAGACGTGGTGTCAGACAGTCGATTAATCAAAGAAAAAACATGATACTGTATTGGTGAACCTGCAATCCACTTAACCCAATAGAAACAGAAAATGAATCATGGGATTCGGTCAGCAACTATAAGTGGATAAAATGGAACTCATTGGTCTTTAATAATCATTCAATGCATACCATTCAGTTCTACAACATGTCATATGCAGTATGAGTAGCTTCATGGTCAGACCTCTAGAGATAATTCACTTCCGTCTAGGACTCAGATACACCTTGATAACCAGAACAAAGAAGTATGGAACCAAGGTCAACCAAGGCTCCTTGCCAATTCCTTCCAAGTAGTTGATGAAAACAGCATGTGGTACACAAATTGCAAGTCAGTTTAATATGCGTCACTGTATATTTAAGGCTTAAAGTCGATTTTTTATGGATAGTTGGAGGCAGTGGGCTAGAATTGTCACATATGTCTTAAGCTTACTGGGACTCTTAGGTAGCGTATATTTACATCACTGAGGAAACCGATGTCGTATGACAGATTCACACTTGCATCACTCATTGTTAGTGTCAGAAAACTTTGGGTTGAGAAATGTTCACGCTTTAGATGGACCACTTGAAACTTTGTGATGTTCAGTGCTCTCACTTCAATCTTACGAAAATGCGTTCATCGTCCTAATACCTCGGCAACAAAGTTTTCTACTTCAGAACTGTATTTGAACGTTATTATCCCACAACAGGCAGCTTTTACTCTTGCGGTGAAAATATATGGTGAGAACTAAACTTTCGTCTAAGGTCTCCCCAAAACACAATATAACTCACTTTGTTTGATCTTGAGGTACATAGTTGTAATCATATCAATAAATGATTCTTATAGCTGTTTTCCTTAACTAAGGGCTAAACGTTTCATGGCTAGATCAACAAAAAATGCTTCGGAATTTCGACAGACTTTTGGTAGTATGAAGGTATGAGAAAGGCAAGTATTAATTTGCTTACGGAGTGATAACTTTAAAACTCAAAAAATTTGTCAACTATATCTTGTTGGTGAGACATTTGCTCAAATCTATAGCAAAGTGGTGGGCATTTAGAGCTTATTTGTCTTCGATACTGTTCAAATGCAAAACTGTTGCAGTGATGTTATGCACATCACCTTGTTAAGTAAACTGATGTGACAACATTCCAAGTATCGAAAGCATAACTATATTGTGGCTGTAGGTCTTGGCTACACTGAGAGTGTTTATTGAAATACATATCTGAGATAACTGAATAAAATTCGCTGTTCTAAATGAAAAGGTTCATTTCAGAAGATAATCGTTTAAATTGCTCATTTCAGCTAGTTGTTGTATACAGTGCTTCATCGTCCTCTTCAACATCGGTATATGTGCAATTATGTTGAAACACTGTACAAGCAGTTTTTGATATTAAAATTGTGGGATTACTCACTTCTTTCATGCAATGAAACCAAGAGAGTTTTTAATCATGGTTTGCGTCTGATACAAAATTTGAACCATATCTATATGTTTCTATGAATATTGCAAAATCACATTCTCAGGCATTTACTGAACATACAGCAAGAGTGCAATTTTCTAGTATATGCTTTGATCTAACAGAACAATCGGCTTACCTAAGCATCTCTTCATTTTTTCTCAAACTTTTTATCTGCCGGTAAAAATATAACATTCTCAATTTTACATTCATTTCCAGAAAGCGTCGCCGACACGGAGGATAAGAAAATCAGAAAAGGGGAAGAGTCCTCATAGAAAAGCAAGATTTGAATGATGAAAGTGAAATAATCCTTCTTTGTTTAATTTAATAATATTATTACGATAAAGTGTTTTCATATGGTTTTAAAACAAAAATCTTTATGCTAATTTTCAGTAAATAATATAGTGTCATTTTCTGTAGCCATTATTCTTTTGACGGTATAATGCCAAACTGATATTTCGAAAATTCTGTTACCACCATAAATAAACAAATAATGAGAGATTTGGCTAGAAAGAAAGATGATAAAAATTGGTGAATAGTTTGATGTGAATATTGTTAGCGATAATTTGATTTCCAGCAGCCTCCTTGAGTATCTGGGCTAATAAATTTTCCATCCTTCGCACTAGATAAAATATTCAACAGATTGCTTCGTCTTAAACTTCCAAAATGTACTTCCATTGCACTATATATTCACGCACATTTTTAAACGGCTTCAGATATCCTACGATCCCAGCATTAAAAAAAACAGGAGAGAAAAACATGAAAACGGAGGAAAGCGATTCAGAAGTGAATAACCTTATCGCAAATGACTCCGTCTCAACTTATAAACACAACTGCAAGTTACTGCGGGAAAAGTAGATTACTTACAATCTCTTACATCCTCCAATGCATACCATAATACTGGAGTAATTACACCGCGAAGCTCGCCTCGTTAACTAGTTCACTAGTTACTAGCCGGTCCTAAAACCGGGTAAAGAGGGAAGGTTGGGTATAGGGCTAGCAACCCTACACCGTAAAACAAATCTAACCGCTAAACAAACTTCAAAGCACAAACGAAATATAAAAAATAAAAACAAAATTATTCCTCACTGGAATCGGAGAGGCGAAATGATGCCAGTTGGCGAAAGCCTTCACGAAGCCAATTGGCCGATGTGTCTTCTCTTCTCTCGATGAAAGCGAAAGTAAACGTGGGGACATGGAATGTTTGCACAACGTTTGAAGCTGGCCGGCTGGCAAGGCCGCACAGATTGCAAAAGAGATGAAGTGTCAGGCTGGGAATCTGAGAAAGCAGATGGAATGCAAGTGAACTCTCCAAACTGTTACCTGAAGAGTCGATAATCTACTCCGATATTCTCACCCAGACAATAACCATCAGTACACTGAGTTTCCGAGTGTCAATCATCATGTCCCCAACAGCATCGAAGGCTCTCATACAGTGGGAACCAATCTCCTCCAGGATCACGACAGAAAGGTTCAACTCAAAAGGAAGGAAAGTCACAATCATACAATGCAATGCTACGCACCAAAAAACAATACAGATCAAGTGAAGAAGGAGGAATTCTACAGACAACTGCAATCAGTACTGGACAAGACCCCAACCCAGATGGCGACATCAAAATTCATTATATTGTGTGGGGTGGGTAACATGAATGCCAAACTGGGAGCAGATAACACAGGAAGAGAACTGATCATGGGTCGAGAAGCACTCAGTGAAATGATGAATGAGAATGGAGAACGGTTTGTGGATTTCTGCGCATTCAACGATTTGGTGATTGCAGTCAGGCACTGTGTTCCAGCACAAGGATACTCACAAGTCAGTGACATGGATTTGATTTCACCAGACACCAGGACACACTACACTAAACATCAAATCGACTTCATCTCAATGTGAAGAAAGGGGAGATGGAGACACAGCCTACTCGACACAAGATCAGATCAAGAAGGGGAGCAGATGTAGCTTCACACCACTCACTTCACTATCTAGTGCAAGGAATCTGCCTTCAAAATCAAGTTGAAAGCCTTCAAGGAAGTTGGTGATGATCGACCTCAGTTCAAGTTGAACGACCACCCAGAACAGAAACTGAACTGAAGGAGGAAACTACAAAGGAGATCTTCACGTTGTCAGCCATGAGGAAGAAATGGGAGACACTGAACAACATTCCTGAAGAAACGTGTGTGGATGAACACTGAAACTCTTTGAAAGCTATGTGGGGAGAAACCTGCATAACCGTATTAGGAAGGAAGAGGAAACAGTAAGACAAGGAATGGACCTCGACGGATCTTCACATGGAAGGTGATAGAGGACGGAGAATAAGATGGTGGGGCAGAAGATGAACCAGTGCAGTGCAGCGCAGTGCAGTGAATTTCAGTGCAGTGATGTGCGGTGAAGTGCAGTGCAGGGATGAATAACGAGAAAAGGAACTGAACACAACCTATAAAACACTACACTGGAGAAAGGAGTGAAGAAGAGTGTGGGTGGATATATACACTTCTAAACAAAAGGCAGTGTCCATATGGATTGAATGAAATTCATGTGACGTTTATAGTTTACAAGTCACACACCGTATCTGGATTGAGATCCGGGCATTGTCGCAAACATTTTAAACTACTACTTTGACAGATTCCTGCTTCGAAGCATTTACATCACAAGTACGAAGATGCTTTGCATCTTGATATTAAAGCTGCCATTTTCAATTGTACATAACCTAACGGCTTCTAACTATGGCCTCCTACAAACACTTAGCGTGTCAGCTGAAGACTTATGACACCATGTTGAACCAACCGAAACGGAGTTGTGGTATGTCGTATCTTTTGACAGTCAATAATGGCGACAAATACTCAGAATTGATGCATAACCATTTGCAAACCACACTGAGAGTGGACAATCAAAACGGATCAGATTGAGGTATACACAAAGTTACACTCATGCATGATGCAGTTGTAGTGTGAGATGTGTAGGAACACATTATTGTGTACAGAACTGTGTACTGTTAACAACAAGATATGCTTGCAATCATTTGACGCTTCCCATACAGCTGCAGGTGGATTCAGTCTTCGAAAGTAATTCACTTGTGGATTAACTGGAGGTAGACAAAATCATTTCTGCATCCAATGGTTGTTTACTGACTCTGCATAAAAACACCACGTGTTAGTTTTAATACTTCAGTTCAAACTGTTAAACAGTGTCACTATTTGAGCTTGCATCACAAATGTGCAGACGACGACAAATACACATTTTATTCAACTGAGCAAACACTATGTAACCAACCTCAATGTTCACTGGAAAATGTCCCAGCTAGCACAAATATGTTCTCATCACTCAAGGCTGACTACCAGAATACACTTTTGTTGAGTGGCACGCAAACAACTGCCATACAATAAGCTGGATTCATGTGAATTCACGAACAAACGAGAACGAAACTGGGATTAAATATTCCTCACCGCGAATGATTCCATTTATTCACAAACAAGACTTGTTTCCACATCTAAGTCGTTGTGCATACAGATGTGGTCCAAAATTGACAATGATAAAACAGAGGCTGATCATCATGCTTTGGTAACGTTTCAACGTTGATGTGTCGGAGTAATAAACTTGCATTTTTTTCGCATTTCTATAATCGTAGAAGCTGTTCACCTTGTGTCTTTCTACAGAGATCCAGCTGCTCAACAGAAAGAGAGGATTTGATGGCTACTGACCGAGTTATTTTGAAAATTCTGTGCGTTCACGAAACCAAGGTTGACTTGCATTTTATTACTAAGTGAAAACTGATAGACACACTCGTATATGCCTATTATTTCTCCCAGGAATGAAGCACTGAAATGTTCCTTTTCGCATCACTGTTTAGAATAAATTCACTATGTCAATGGAGTTAGGCAGCGAAGACGGAACTTCAGGTGAATATAGAGAAGACAGAAGTGATGAAGATACCGCACCACCACCATCAACAACAACAACAAACTCCAGTCACCATCAACGGGAGAAACTTAAAGGAAGTAACCTCCTTCACTTATCTAGGAAGCACTGTTTCAACTACAGGCGGGACGGACGAGGACGTCAAAGTCAGAATTGGAAAAGCAAGACAGGGGTTCATTAGCCTGAAACCAGTGTGGAGATCTTCTGCACTCAGCATGCGGAACAAGATACAGATTTTCAACACCAACGTCAAGTCAGTGCTCTTGTATGGCTCAGAGACTTGGCGCGTCACGAAAGGTATTTCCAATAAACTACAGACATTCATCAACAACTGCTTACGGTCGATACTGAAGATCAGATGGCCAGAAAGAATAAGCAACAAGGAACTCTGGGAACGAACCAACCAAGAACCTATCACGCAACAAATATGCAGGAAGAAGTGGAGATGGATTGGCCATGCACTGAGAAGGCCGACTGAGGACATCACGCGTCAGGCCAGTTGCTCGAGTGGAATCCGCAGGGGAAGCGACGAGTTGGGCGTCCCAGCTGAGGGTGACATGGAGGAGGTCGTGCGAGGAGGAAATGAGAGCTTCTGGGCTGTCGTGGGACCAGGTTCAAAAGATCTCGGAGAACAGAGGTCACTGGAGGCGTGCTACTGAAGCCCTATGTTCCACTAGGAACCCAAGGGACTAATAATAATAATAATAATGTCAATGGAGTTCATATCATTCTTGCTAAGTTCACACATCACTGACTCACAAATATGCGTGAGAAATAATAATCTGTTATGCCTGAATACAGCGACTTCACGCGTGACGGTCGCTTCGTGGGAGCTTGAGAATGAGTGGGAAAAAGCTAGAGGCTAGGAATACATAACATGAAGCAGTGCTGCACATATGAACAAAATCCATGATACTATTTCACACCACGAAATTAATTTCTGTCCAAAAGCAGTTTATTTTGTCCATTCAGAAAAATCACTATGTTATTTCATCTCACCGACCAATTGTTATACCTTTGTGCTGGTAAAATACAAATATGTTTCCTGAATGTAAGTTCACCTACAGCTTAATATGACTGTTCTACGGAGACATGCAAGATTGATGTGCGATCATCTCGCACTTACCAGGGGATTATTATTATTATCAGTCCCTTGGGTTCCTAATGGAACATAGAGCTTCAGTAGCACGTCTCCATTACACTCTCTTCTCTGAAATCTTTTGAACATCGCTCCACGACAGCCCACAAGCACTCATTTCCTCCTCACACCATCTCCTCCATGTCACCCTCGGACGTCCAACTCGTCGCTTCCCATGTGGATTCCACTCGAGCAACTGGCCTGACGCGTGATGTCCCCAATCGGCTTTCTCAGTGTATGCCCAATCCATCTATCTCCACTTCCTTCTACACATTTGTTGAGCGCTAGGATCTTGGTTGGTTCGTTCCCAGAGCTCCTTGTTGCTTATTATTTCTAGCCATCTCATCTTCAGTATCGACCGTAAGCAGTTG